CTCCCTCTCCCAGTCTCCCTCCCTGCTCTCCTTGTTGTGCTCTGCTCATCGCTTCTCCCTCGCTTCTCCTCCTCTTTTCTGCATCCTCGACTTTATCTCCAACACTTCTCTGCGCCTGATCAGCCTTCATCTGTTCTCCTCCTCCCCTTCCTCCTCCCCATCGCTTCCTCCCCTCTCCCCTCCCTTCCTCTCTTTCTCTTCCCTCCTCTCCCCTCTTCTCTCCTACTCCATGACCTCCTCCGTTTCACCCCCCTCATTCTGCGTTGCAGGTGGAGGGCATCCCCAAGTCTGTCTTCGAGTCTCTCCTCGCAAAGATCTACAAGAGGAGCAAGTAGAGCTCGCCAGGCTCCTGCCTCCTGCTCCCCCCTGCTCCTCCTCCCTCAGTGATAGTGACAAGTTTCGAAGTCAAGGAGACAACAGTGATGATATCATAGTATCTTTGAGTTCTACCGTCCATCACCCATCGAGCCTGAGCCTGAGGGGGGCCGCCGGGACCGTACGGTACCAGGCCGCAGTGAGCGGCCTTCCCGGCGGCGGGCCCGTCGGAGCACCCGGCCCCCCCGGGCCCTCCTCGCCGGGGTCTGCCGCAGCCATGGTTCATCCGATCCCGCCGGGGGCAAAGTGACCCGGTATCGGACTCGGAGGCCGACGAGGCCCGGGGCGCCCGGCTCCGGGCTGCAACTCAGTTCAGTGAACTTGTCCGCTCATTAGGGAACCAAGAAGTAATGAGTTCCGGAAGTCAGTTAGCACAAGAATAGTCGTTTTAAAATAGGTGAGATCTTCTCTATTTTACCTAAAAAGCTTCTTATCTTAGTTCATTTTAACCTAATTTAACTTAGATCTGCCTTAAATATGCACCGGTATTCTAGTTACGCCGCTACGGACAACGCTACTACCCCTCCCCAGGCCACCTTCCCACCGGTCCTTTTCCCACCGCCTCAGTCGAACATACTACCCCTACTGTCGGACCCCTGTGTACTCCGAATGCCCCAAAGTCAAACGTTCGACTACCCCTCTTTACCAAGCTTCTGACCACCCCTCATTATCAGAGGATTTCGGAGGGGCTACCCCTCACGGCAGGGTTGTAGTGACCCCACGCTCCAATCAGTCACTCCCCGACCACTACCCCTCCATTTCCGCCGCTCCTCCTCAGATTACCCACCCCTCTAACTGAAAGAATGACCTGTCCGTTTGACCTGCATCTCTGAGTACCCCCTAAATCACCCTCCAATGTACCCCTACCTCCAGTCCACCCCACCCTGTATTTTGAACTTGACCACCCCTGTACCTAGCTGACCTCAACACCCACCCCCATCCTGCGGACAAGGGGAAGTTGGCTGAAGGAAAATGGCCGACGAAACAAAGACGGCAAGCGAAGCGATGCGATGGAGGGATCGAATGAGAGAGGAAGTGAGAATGAGAGCAGGGAGAGCGATGAGAGCATGTACGTAGACATCAAGGTTTCTATGAAGGAAACATGAGCCTGGAAAGGATTTGTATAAAAGATGGTCATTGGAACAAGAAACGCGTTCTTTATTGACCTGAAGAGCATGGAATATGAGTAGACCCTACAGTGAAACCTGAGCCGATGGTGTGAAACTCATTGAGTTGTGTTGAGAATGGAGCTTGAGCGTGCAGTGATCGCGTTCTCAACGGTCAAGTAGGCAACGGTAGTTAGACCAGCAGAACCGCAAGGAAGCAAGGAATAAGAGCAGGTGGAGCAGTAAGAATCGAAGCTGATGCACCGACGTCAAAGGTTTTAGGCTGAGAACTGTTTCTGTTAGGTCTTGGAGTGACATTAGCCATGTCTGCCACCTCCTATGAACATCTCTCTACACCGCGTCATACCTCCTCATAGCATAAGCGCCATGTTTCTGGCTGAATCAGAACCATTCGACATTTTACGCGCAAGTCTCAGCTTGGATATGCCAACCAAGACATCGCCCACACTAGCATCTCAGCAGGGAGATAAGACTTCGAGAGAGATCTTGGTTCGTCTGGAGGTACGCTCGTTCTTTTTTTCCCACCTGCTCCGCTCTTGTCTCAACCAACTTGTTCAGCGTCAAGAGATGGTGAGCATGGACGACGCCAAACAGCTACATCGATGCGGAGGGCTGGGGATCGGTCTACAGGTCTGCTTCACGACTTGAGCTTGCTCGTGCACATGCTCAGAGGATGATCTTTCTTGCTGGCTGTAGGACGACCCATCGGGGTTTCATCGGCTCGTTCATATCGCTCCCGGGTCAGCAGCTTCGCTGTCCAAGAAGCTGTCGCCGGGTGAGCAGAGGAGCTGGCGCATTCCGTCCCAGGGTGGTCGCTGACAGCAGGCAGGTGACATTGTGACTGCCATCGACGGGCAGAGCACACATGGCAAGAAGACAAGCGAGGTGGTGGAGATGATTCGGGTACAAGCAAAGGATGTGGAGGGGAGAGGGTGAGATGTGTATCAGGGGCTGCCCGGGACTCCTGTGTTTGTAACGATACACCGGACGCCGACGTCTCTCTTCGTGAACGGGGTAACTCCGGGAGGCAGAGTGGACAACTCTGCGATCTAACGGCGTACAGGACTTCCCATATGAGTATATCGAGGAACAAGGGGCGAGATCGGTGACTGTACAGAAGACCGATCATGATGTGGAAGAGAAGTTTCTTGGTATTGCTGCATTCCTTGATTGCGTTCGGGTGATCACTCGATCTTCCGGGATCCAGGCTTGTCAGAATCGATTTATATCTGTCGGCGAACGCAGGAAGTTGCACAAGTTGATTCAGAGCTCGCCAACGAGGAGAACTCTGTCAGTAGCCCCGGAAATCCTTCAAGGAACTCCTCTGCGGAATTTTCGATGTCTTCGTCAGGAAATCAAGAAGATTTTGAGAAACTGATCGAGGTTCAACTGATGATGATGGCGACGGGATGATGATAGTGGTGATGGGAGTGATGACGATGATGATGGTGGAGATGCTGATGATGGAGATGCTGATGATGGAGATGCTGATGATGGAGATGATGGAATTCGAACCATGACTTGGGCCGATATAGGCGGAGTACATGCAAGAGTTGTTCCAGAAAGAAACCTCGCTGTCTGGCGGCTTCTGGAGCAAGGGGGAAACGATTCCCTCAATGTCGAGAACAAGACCGATCCAGTCGAGGCCGATGGACCTCAATGGTGTTTGTATCCTCGACACAGCTCTTGTCTGTTGTGACATGTGCTCATGATAACAGAACTCGACATCGATCTTCAGATCGATACGGAATCTCCGACCTCCGGCCTCCCGAAAGTGCATGACGATGCGGGGGCCTCATACTCCACGCAAGCGTCGTCGCACTGCAGTCGAAGTACAATGGCGTCCATGTGAGGACTCAATTGTCTCCTTTACCTGGGACTCACCGAGCCGTTTTCAGGGATGAAATCTTGAGTGCTGAACGGAACAAAGCTACCCAAAGGTCAACTGCTCCTGCTCCTGCTCCTGCTCCTGCTCCTGCTCCTGCTCCTGCTCCTGCTCCTGCTCCTGCTCCTGCTCCTAACTCTTCCTCCTCCTTCCCCTCTTTCCGATCTCATCATTTTTCATAGGATTGATGATGCCTTCCGGGATTTACCGAATTCTAGCCTGCCAGGTTTGTGCTCGCAACGCGCATGAATGTTCGGTTACCATCTGCTCGCCAGGCCCTGGACTGGGGACAAGTGTGGCCAAGTCTTCGTCACTCATTCAAGGCAACGGAGACGACATTCGCTGTCGGGAGTTTTCCTCCCTTCAAGGTGAATCTTTGAGGACTGACAGGAAGCCCCTGGCCCTGATAGCCCCCCTCTTTCTCTCTTTGTGCAGGAGAACTCTTCAGTCGGGTCGAAGGCTCCGATCCCGAAGCGTCTACCCTCGCCTCGCTCTCCAGGATTGATGAGCTGGACCTCTTTAAGGTAGAATTCACTCCTCCCCTTGCTCCTCTTCCTCACGTCGAGCCCGCAGATCAAGTTCGAAGGGCTTCAAGTCTTCGGCGACGATCGAATGATGTAATGGCTGAATCAGTTGTCTGTGCAGCCCCTTACGAACCTAACGTCGCAGAGCCCCTAGCCCAGCCGCGCCCAGTGTCCGGGAGGTCCATGGGCTCGCGGCCGACGGCCCAGCAGGTCAAAGGGATCACGAGGATCCTTTTAATGACGAGGAGAACGACGAGAGTCATGTCAGTTACCGCCGGATGTCTCTTCTTACCCCCTTGCCTACCCTCCATCTCTCCTCATCTCCGGCTCTCCCATCCTCCTTCCCTGCTCACTGTATCGCTCCATCCCTCAGGATAATCCATCCCCTTGTTGTCTCTCCCTGTCGCCTCCCTCCACTGACCTGACTCTGTTCCTTCCAGGCTGAGCCCTTTGTACGAGCAGACAGGACTGAGCAGAGATACTATGCAGGTACTTTCCTTCCATCCTCTCCTGCCGATCTCACGAGCAGCAGCAGGGGCTGATCATGTGCGCGCGAACTCTGCACAGGAGGCCAGGGCAAGGCAGGAGGCCTCCACCCCCTCTACCCTCCTCGGCTTTCTCTGGCCGGAGATTGAAGTTTCAAGGGGAGAGCGAGTCTTTCTCTACTGAGCTCTAGCAGCTTCGTCGTCCAATTGTTGTGCAGAACCATGTTAACAGCCTTGACTTTCTTTCCTCTGTCCTCCGTCCCCCCCCCCCGCCCCCTTCACCCATTCTCAAGGTGCGTTCCTGCGTGCCTTCCTCCCTTCCTTTCCCCTCCCATCTGCATCCCAGTCCCTCTTCCAATCCCCTCTCCTATCCCTCCCCGTACATTCATTTCCCCGCTCTTGTTATTCTCATCTTCACATGTTGTCAATCATCTTCCTCGCTCTCTCCGCAATCCTCGCTGCCTCATCATCTATCTCATCCTCCACCTCCTCCATGTGGCCCCGGGCCAGGTACTCCATGTAGTCGCCTGCTCCTCAGTCACCGATCTTCTTTGAGACCTCAAAACGAACCTGTTGCTCGGTTCCCTGGGCTGTTCCTCCTCCTCTCCATCATCTTGTCCCTGCCAACTGTTTAAGAATGCAGAGATTCTGGGAACGCAGGGAGAGAGGGAAGGAGGGAGGGAGAGAGGGAGGGAGGGGAGGGGAGGGGAGGGGTAGGGGGAGGGAGGGGAGGGAGGGAGACGTCGAGAACCTCAAGGCTCACACGGTCTACTCTGGGGGATATACCTCCCTCGACAGCACTTGCCGGAGGTTCTGGAAGGTCGTGGCGCAGTTCTCGAGCAAGGAAAAGTCAGCTCTCCTCAAGTTCGTCACCTCCTGCCCGCGCCCTCCCCTCCTTGGCTTTGCCTCCCTCCAGCCTCCCTTCACCATCCATCGCGTTCACTCCGACAAGGGCTTCTGGGACTACATGACGGGCAAGTCGGAGGATCGCCTTCCGACCTCTAGCACCTGCATGAACCTCCTGAAGCTCCCTCTTTACCCGAGCTCCTCCAACCTCCGCGACAAGCTCCTCTATGCCATCACGGCTAACGCCCGCGTTCGAACTCTCGTGAGCATGCCATGACTCCGATGAAAGTACTTTGATCTTTCAAGTTAGTTGTACATACAGCAGTCGCGGTCTAACAGTAACTTGA